AGAGAACCATGTCTTAATTAATATTTGTTATGCAGACCTTTAGATGGCTCTTCAGCCTGCTTCTTAGTTCTTCTTCCCTGCCAACTGACCAGGAAAACCGTCTCGGTCTCTCCTTTGGCAAAGGCTAAGCCAGCTAGGGCACTAGGGCTGACCCATGCTGTCTCCAGGAGACCTCGCTGGACTCATTATACATGCAAGCCAGCAGGTTGATATTAGACAGGGGCGGGCCCACAGGAGACCGGTGCATGCGCTGTACATGATGCACAACTGACAGATAGCCCGGCACTCTGTCACACAGCTCAGCGTGTCCAGCTCTGAATAACACGGGGGCTGGAAAAATTGCTTCGGCAGGCTGTATCCACCCTGGGGGCCATAGTTTGAGGACCTCTGCTTTAGAGCCTTACAAAAGGCTAACAGAGTGGGGGCCATCCTGAGCCCTGATGGAAGAAAGTTCCAGAGGGCAAGTGTTACTGCCTACGAGGCATGCCGCCTCCTGATCCCCATGGACATTCCTTCCTGGTGGACATCCTGCCAGCGGACATTCCTTGGCTGACGCAACCCGCAGCATCCTCAATCTACAAAACCAAATTGGATGGGTAGAAACTATTGGGAGAAGTTAGTCCTTCAAATAACCCGGTCTCAAGTCATATAGGGCTTTAAAGGTAACAACCAGCACCATTTATGAGACTTGTCTCACAACCTAGGGTTATAGAGAGGATGCCACATGAAATGCCCCTGGAAAAAGATAAGATGGTAGCCGCGAGAACCACCAAACTTCTATTCCAAATCAGGAGGCACAGTCAGGTGTGAAGACACAGAGGGTTTCTGGGCAGGAAGTGCTGACATCTCCAGCTGATGGGTTCAACTATTCCACTGCAGCTTCCAATTGGACAGTCAATTATCCAATGGAAGAAAATGTATCTCTTGCATGAGTTTTCCTAGGACTAGGACTCCAAGCTTCCCTCTGACCCTTCCTTTCACCCACATCTAGAAATAAAGAGAAATTTTCTGACAGGGAGAACAACCAACCAATGGAACAGAAGTTGCCTTGGGAAGTTGTGGGAGCTTCATCACTGGAGGCTTCAGTAAGAGGTTGGACTGCCATTTGCCAGAAATGGTGTAGGATCTCCTGCTTGGGGGTGGGGGGGTGTTGGACTAGATGACCTATAAGGTCCCTTCCTATAAGGTTAATCTCAAAAAAAAATTTTTTTCCTTCAGTCCTCTCTCCCAAAAGCTGGAGTTTTAACTGAAATTAGGTATCTTAAGGTTACCATTTTTGATTGTAGTAGTAATACTAATCTTCACACTTACTAAATTGAGATTCATTCGTTTTCTCACTCTCTCTCTCTTTCACACACACACACACACACACACAAACGACCTGCCCAGTAGTAACTCCAATGGCTCTGCAAGAAATACGCCACTTTTAACTCCGTTTTAACAAAAAGCCATTTAAACGGAAAGGAAGAACTTCCTGACCGTACTCTTGCCTTAAAGCCCAAAGACACCATCCTTACAGTTACTTTGTAAAAAAAAATACGGTGTACATACAGGGCATCATTGACACAATTTAAAAAATGTATTTATTCGGATAAGCAAACTACTTGAGACCAACGTACTGTGCTTACGGGGAGAAACAAGAGAAGGCAATCTTATGCAAGCCACTCTGAGCTAGGGAAATATAATTGCAATAAGTAAATAATTTCTTGAAAATATGCTTGTTCTGGGCGGGGGAAGAGTTTTATTGTCAATCCCCTCCCGCCCGGCTCCGAAAATGAGCAATTTTCAAACCCTGGGGCGTACCTCTTCAGAAAGTCCTGAATCATCCCCTTCCTGCATCTCAGCGCCATTACAACAGCGGCTTTCTCGACAGCAAGAGACCGGGTTTTTAATCCCTTACGGCCAAGAGGCTCCAGAAGGCCGCCCTCCTCTGTGCTAAACAACTTGGGTGACGTTTCAAGCAGCTCCCACGCGGAGCATTGAAAACTCGCGGTTGCTCCCACGTGGCGGCAGCTACAGAGGCTGCGGCTCAGGGCGGGATTCGAACCGGTTACTCGCCACATCTGCGCTGCGCTCCCGCGGATCCGCCTCCCCAGAGCTCCCTTCACAAGCCCCACCCTCCCACAATCCGAGGACACGTCAGCAAAGACTGGACGACCCGGAAGTTCTATTAACTTGGCCAAAGGGGTTCTTGCATAATACCTCCATAAATATTCTACCGAGAGAGAGGGTTCCCCCCACCCCGATATTTTTGGCTCTTTGCATAACCGAAGCGGCACTTTTGAACGAGGGGGGAGGGAAGCCTCTAAAGGGGGAAAAAAAACAGCTACTGAATTATCCGCCAACGAGGTGTGACATCGGAAGTACTCGCCAGCGGGCGGCTGTTAGCCGGAAGAAACCCCCCCTCCCTTCGCTCTGTGCGGCGTGTCCGCTTGTTGGCGAGTACGGTGGCCGCGGCGGTTGGGGTCAACGTCGTTCTGTCTTTTGAGTTTCGCTTCGTGTTAGGAGAGCCGCGGCGGCAGCAGCAGCAGCGATGGCTCCCAAAGGCAGTAGCGGCGGGGCTCGGCAGCAGTCGGAAGAGGAGCTGCTCCTGCAAGATTTCAGCCGCAACCTGTCGGCGAAGTCCTCGGCGCTGTTCTTCGGCAACGCGTTCATCGTCTCGGCTATCCCGATATGTGAGTGGTGGGGGGGAGAAAGGCGCTGGGTTCTGCCCCCCCTTTCATTCTCTCTTGCAAGGAGGCATTCAATAGGAAAGAGGTTTCCAACCGTGGCAACTTTAAGCCTGGCGGACTTCAACTCCCAGAATTCCCCAGCCAGCAAAGATGGCTGAGGAATTCTGGGAGTTGAAGTCCGCCAGGCTTAAAGTTGCCACGGTTGGAGACCCCTGCAATAATAGGGGGCGACCTGAAGACCACTGCACCGGTGCCATTTCTGCCCGTCCCCACATCTGGGAAAGCCAGAAGAGTGGGGGAAATATTCCTTAACACAACTGATCTCAAGCTGATCTCTGGGATGAACTGGGAGAAAAGTGATGTCCCCCCATCTTATAAAACCTTTCCTGTTTGGATGCTTCTGGCTTTTAAAAAAATCTCTTGCAGGCCCTGCTCCTCAGATACGAATAACCGAAGGGTCAGGAAATGAGTCTGCCTTGGCTGGAGGCTTCCTTTAGAATTTCAACCCCAGCAGATCTGCTCTAGAATTAAAGGTAGCCTAATAGAAGTACTTTTGTAGGATGTAGAATGTAGCATTGTTGCTATTTATGGTTTAATAACTAAAAATATAGTTTAATAACAAAATAGTCCTACAGCCACAGTTAAGCCCAAAATTTCTGTTGTTAAGTGAAACATTTGTTAAGCAAGTTTTTTTACCCCATTTTATGACCTTTCCTGCCATGGTTGTTAAGTGAATCACTGCTACAGTAAGCTAGTAACCCGGTTGTTAAGTGAATCTGGCTTCCCCGTTGACCTTGCTTGTCAGAAGGTTGTAAAAGGTGATCACATGACCACGGGACACAGCAACGGTCATAAAAATGAACCAGTGGCCAAGCATCTGAATGTTGATAACATGATCATGGGGATGCTGCAAAGGTCATAACTCTGGAAAACGGTCATGTCGCATTTTGCAGTGTCGTCATAACTTTGAACAGGTAGTCCTCAACATACGACAGTTCATTTAGTGACCACTAAATGAACTGTGGTAAGTCGAGGACTACCTGTGTTTCGAAGCCAAAAATAGACGATGGCAAATTACTGTTTGCCAAGAAAACGGCACTGAATTCTTAAGCTGAATTCAAGAATCTCCTTTTATTCAACGTTCATAAAGATATGTTCATGCAAATTGTGTTGTACTTATTGGCAGTGTTTTTCCTTAGTCTGAAGTAGTGGTTTTGGAGGTTGTACAGGTAGTGATCAGAACTGTTGCTAAGCAAAGTGGTGGTTAAGTGAGTTGCACCAGATTTTATAATATTTTCTTTTGTCATGGTTCTTAAATGAATCGCTGCATTTGTTAAATGAATCAGATGGTCATTAAGCAATTGCAAGTTCCCCACTAAATATGCTCATTAGATGCTGGCTGGGATAGTTGCCAAATGGCGACAACATGCCTTTGGGATGCTGTAGCCGTCATAAATACACGCTGGTTGGCAAGTTCATGAATTTTGATCACAGGAATGCTGTGATGGTCATAAGTGCGAGAACCAGCTCCTGTTGCTTTTTTTCCAGTGCTGTTGTAACTTTGAACCATCGCTAAATGAATGGTTATAAGCTGAGGACTACATATAGTAACTGAAATTATGTGAGAGGGTATTTCTAAAACAAATCTTCATGATTAGTCCTTTTATTTACAACCTTCTCAGGTCTGTGAAGCCAAGAAAAGCTGAAGTAAGATCATTAGCAGATTTGTGGTTTCACTTAGCAACTGCTTTGCATTATAACCAAGTTGCCAATTCCAATTACGGTTGCCAAACAACGACTGCTTGTAACTATTTTATTATAACAAGCCAGCAGGATGTATTGTACATGCTAATAATGAAGTCATAACTATCTTTAAATTTTTTCACCTTAGGGCTTTACTGGCGGATTTGGCACATGGACCTCTTTCAGTCTGCAGTCCTCTACACTGTAATGACCCTTGTCAGCACCTATTTGGTTGCCTTTGCTTACAAAAATGTGAAGTTTGTTCTTAAGCACAAGTAGGTAGTAAAACTGTTTCTCTCAAAATATACTACACTGCAAAGTATTATTTCACTTTTCTCCAGATGAATTGTTAAAAGCCACTTCAAATCAGCCATGCCATATTCTGTTATAAATATTGTTCCTTGCATTTGGAAAGGTCAGTCAGATTTACTGACAACTTTGAGCCACTAGAATGCAAAGCTTTACAGTGTTTAATTTTCCATAGAGAAATATGTTTTGCATATTGATTATTAATGCATTTCAATAGCAATCGTGTTTGATGCAGTTGCAAATTGAAACTTTAACCGAAATATTTCATGTGATTGTCCCCAAGTAATGGAAATGAATATGCCATTGATCTGAATGCTTTTTAAAAAAATAAAGAATGAACATTATCTATAGATATTATTTTAATATTTTAAAATTTATTGAAAAATGCACAATTAATAGCCAACTAGAGGACGCGGTGGCTCAGAGGCTAAGACGCTGAGCTTGTCAATCAGAAAGGCCAGCAGTTTGGTGGCTCGAATCCCTAGCACTGCGTTAACAGAGTGAGATCCTGTTACTTGTCCCAGCTTCTGCATCTAGCAGTTCGAAAGCATGTAAAAATCCAAGTAGAAAAATAGGGACCACTTTGGTGGGAAGGTAACAGCATTCCATGGGCCTTCAGCGTTTAGTCATGCCAGCCACATGGCCATGGAGATGTTTTCAGACAGTGCTGGCTCTTTGGCTTTGTAACGGAAATGAGCACTGCCCCCTAGAGCCGGGAATGACTAGCATGTATGTGCAAGGGGAACCTTTACCAGAATAATGTCCTTCATTTCTAGTTTTGTGTTAAAAATGCATGTACTTTGATCAAAATATGTTTGATGGAACTCACTAAAGTCAAATGTTTCCAGTAATTGTCTGCTACTAGTTTACATGCTTTTTCTTTTATGATCCCAGGATCACTGTCTGGATCAGTATGAAACACAACTGATTGTTCTTTAAGGACATTGAGACTTTCCTTTTAATATGGCTTTGTGCATATGAAAATTTATTTAAACTATTTACTAAACTATTTACATTATTACTATTACTATAATCTTCCCATCCTTCCTTTCAGCCATCTCCTCCCACTTATGACTGTATGACTGTAACTGCGTTGCTTGTATCCTTACGATTTTTATTGATTGTTTCCTAGTTTGATTTGATTGCTTATTGTGCCCTATGACTATTATGAAGTGTTGTACCTGATGATTCTTGACAAATGTATCTTTTATCTATACTGAGAGCATTTGCACCAAGACAAATTCCTTGTGTGTCCAATCACACTTGGCAAATAAAGAATTCTATTCTGTACTATTCTATTCTATTCTGTACTATTCTATTCTATTCTATTCTATTCTATTCTATTCTATTCTATGGAATTTTATTTGTTTTGTTTTGATCCCGCCTTTATTATTTTTATAAATAACTCAAGGCAGCAAACATACCTAATATTCCTTCAGCCTCCTATTTTCCCTACAACAGCTATTTTCACTTGTGAGATGAATTGGGCTGAGAGAAGTTGACTAACTCAAAGTCACTTAGCTGCATTCAGGCAGGACTAGAACTCCAGTCTTCTGGTGATCGGGAAAGTCACCAGTCTACTTTCATGTCTAAGGGAGGACTAGAACTCAGTCTCCCAGTTTCTAGCCTGGTGCCTTAAATTAACTCTCATGTTCATCATCAAGTTCACAGATGGAAATAATTTTGTTATTGTATAGAGAGGGCTAATCTTTGGTGGATGGGAGCTACAGGAAGTATTTTCAAAAATGGTTGGTCTCCAAGGTCCATAGGGAAATATCAAGTCACATGGTTATATCACACTTTCTTTGGCTATTGGAGGGGGGAGGGGGTTGCCTGGCTTGGGCTCTGTAAGTATCCAAAACCAGCAATATGACATTGATAGTAAATGGTTATATTATTTGACTGGATGTCAATGCTTTCCTTTTTTAGGGTAGCCCAGAAACGGGAAGATGCTGTTTCCAAAGAAGTGACCCGCAAGCTTTCCGAAGCAGATAATAGGAAGATGTCACGAAAGGAGAAGGATGAGAGGTGCTGTTCTGCCACTATCCAGTTATACAATCTTACTTGCTCAGTAGTTGGATTCTCTTACTCTCAAATAAGAGATGTAAAGCTGGAGGTTTCTTTGGGGATCAACTTGCTGATTCTCACCATTTTATAGCTTACTTGATTTATTTGGAGTTGCAAACTTTATCCTTGCTAATTTGGGGCTCTTTAATAAAACAATGGAAAGGAAGGGATGTCTGTTAAAACTAAGTATCTTTTCATCAATGAATGGGCATTTTTGAACTGCAAAACACATGTGAGAAAACCTGCTTTGCTGATATCTATATCTATCATCTATATCTATCTATC